CATTAATCCATTGATCTTCCAGTTTGGATTTTAATCTCCATGAGGTAGGAGTGTTTCTTTCTTTCTTTTTGTGATTTACTTATAGTTTGATGCTTTCATGGTCAGAGAAGATAGTTGGTATGATTTTGATCATGGAGTATCTGTTAATGTTTGTCTTGTGTCCCAGTATGTGATCCATTTTGGAGAATGATCCATGTGGATTTGAGAACAATGTGTACTTAGATTTCCTTGGGTGTGGTGCGTTAGGGATGTCTGTTAGGCCCATGAGGTCTAGATCCCCATTTGGAGCTCTTGTGTCCTTGCCTACGTTTTGTCTTGTTGATCTATCCATTGGTGAGAGTGGTGTGTTGAAATCTCCTACATGTATATATTTTCTCTGATGTCTGTTTTCAGGGATGGTAATAATTGTCTGATATATTTTGGTGCTCCTTTGTTTGGTGAATATGTTGGTGATTGTTACGGTTTCCTGATGTAATATCCTTTTAATCATAATGTAGTGACCATCTGTGTCTCTTTTTACTTATTTTAGTTTGAAGTCTATTTTATCTGATATGAGTATAGTTGTTCCTGCCTTATTTTTTGGTCCATTTCTTGTCAGATTGTTTTCCATCCTTTTGCTTTCAATCTGTGTTTATCTTTTGTAGTTAAGTGTGTTTCCTATAGACAGCAAAAGATTGGGTTCTGTTTTTTTATCCAACCTGTGACTCTGTGTCTCTTTATTGGTGAGTTTAGACCATTATAGTTCTCTTTCCTTTTCTATTTTTGTTCTTTTTATGTCTGAGTCTTTAAGAATGCTGATTTGTTTTTCCATTTCTTCTATTCTGTTTTCTTGGCTTTTCCCAGAGTTTTGAGTTCCTCCACCTGTCTTTGATTATCCTCCAGGTCCTTCACTCTCTTCCTTAGCTCATTGATTGTATTTTTATCTCTTTCTGCTTGCTCTTTTATTTCTTTAATTGTTTCTATCATGAACTTTTTGAAACTTTTGTCTATTAGGTGGAGGTAGTCTTCTGTTGCCATAATGTTGTTTTTTCTGGGGAATGACTTTTTCCCTGGGGTGTATTATTTCCAGAGGGGCTTGCTTTATCCTTGCGTTTTTTCTTCTTCATATTAGCCTTCTACTTTGTTCTGTTCTAAGTATTCCTGTGCTGCTGTTGCTGGTGGGCATGATTTCTAGTTACTCTTGCTGTGGTGTGAATATGCCTGGTGTCTTAAGTCTCTATGGCTGGGTACACGTCCAGACCCTTCAGTTGTGGAAGATGTTCTGAGATATGCTTTGTTCCAAGATCTCCTGTTTTTCTGGCCCCCACTATGTAGAGTTGGGTCTGTCATCTCAGCCAGTAGTAGCCAGGGATCTCTTATGGGTTCTGTTTCTTTCAGTAATACATTGAGTCCTAATCTCTGGGAGGTGCCTGCAAGAAGTGCCTGAATGGGCTGATTCTTTCCGTTGAACTTCTCTCTCCTTGTAGGCATGTCTCGGCAAAATAATGGCATTAAAAGAGAGTAGGGAGTGAGAGGAAGGGTTAGGGGGAAGGGAAGGATGATAAGAAAATGTAATAGGAAGGAAGGTGATAGGAAGAGGTGAAGGTTAAATGGGGATAAAGGGAAAAGGAGGAGGAAATGGAGGAGGGGTAATAGAATGAGAAGAGACAGCAGTGATGTTGAAGGGGAAGGAAAAAGCTAGAGAAGCTAGTCTTTGTGGTTTTAGGCTGGTCTTCTGGGGAGCACCCTACGACTGGGTAGAAACCCTTCCCAGAATCTGCAGTTCTTTAGTCCTCTCAGGTAGTTGGGAAAGTAAAGGAGCTCCTGAGGCTTTTTACCGAGGGTCTCATGGTAGCTAGAGGCCTCCAGTGTAAAGGCTGGCCCTAAAAGTCTCCTGATGACTCTCCCTCAGGCAAGCCACCTGATTTCAAGTGTGTGTGGCTGGTGATTTTGCGTGGTCACTAGGTGGCACCAGAGACCTTTCCCAGTAAGTTTTCAGAACTGGGTTTATAAACACAGGTCTCTGGGATGTTTGACTATTAGCGTTTGACTTGGATGTATCTAGTCCTGGCCTAAGGTGACTATAATTTTCAGGTCTTCTGTAAACCTTACCTGGTTGTTTAATCTGGGACCATTCACCTGACTGTTCTTACTGACCCTGACCTAGGTCTAAATGATCTAGGTCTTCCTGTACCACAACTAAAACGATAGTAACCGGGGCAAGATGGTGGCAGAGTGTGGATGCTCAGTCACTACCTCCAGGCTCACACAAGACAGATAAGCTTCAAAATGCATCACAGGCACACATATTACTAGCACTGACCTCATCGGGCACCCTGGATTTGCTAGATCAAGGATAATTGAGGGAGACTCAGAAACTGGGGAGCTCTGATCCAAGAGTGCCATGCGGAGGCAGCTTGGAAGCACCTCTGCTTAGGAGACTTGCAACTCTTCTACCTGCTCCCCGCCCCCACCTGCACAAACAGTGCTAGAGCCCAGGAGGTAAAAAGAGACTGCTAGGTGGATATATAAGAAATCTGGGACATCGGAAGGCTACAAGATCAACAGGTGGGCAAGTGGGAGCAGCGGTGCTGCTACAGCTTGGAGCTGAAGGCAGGGAGACTCCAAAGCGAGTCCAAAGCGAGTCTCCCTGCCTTCAGCTCCAAGCTGTAGCAGCAGCTTGGAGCTGAAGGCAGGGAGACTCCAAAGCGAGTCCAAAGCGAGTCTTCCTGCCTTCAGCTCCAAGCTGTAGCAGCACCGCTGCTCCCACTTGCCCACCTGTTGATCTTGTAGCCTTCCGATGTCCCAGATTTCTTATATATC